CGACGTCTTTTCCCGCCTTTTCCCGTCCAGTCGAGAACGGTAAGTTTGTATCCGGAATATTATATTTCTACCCAACAAACATCACTTATTATTGTTGTAAATAGTGGTGAAGACTATCTAGATCTAATTGAATAGACTTTTTTGTCTAAATTCAATTGTAAATTCGATGTAAAATTATTGTTTCACGTCCTCCCTCAATTTGTCGCGCAACACAGTGCATCCGGTAACTTTTATTTGTAAACATTCATTTTTTTATGCTGAAATTGTTATTAGCTTTTTGAATTTTTGTCCAAGTTGTTTCCTCTTTGCTTTCATTCCAGCTGAGCTAAGCTTGTTGTAGCAAGTAGCAAGGAGAAGATGTCAAATAAAAAGTAAGTTTTTTTAACTTAGTACAGTGATTTTGGGAGAGAAATTGAACACTAGAGCAATTTTGCATGCTTTTAGGTCAACAAATTAGCATGCCTGTTTAAACCTAATTTTCTCTCAATTGTGATGCATGCAAACAAAAAATGATACTTAGCCAAGCCACTATTACACTTGACTTATTTGTAAATGAAAATAATTTTTGATAATTAAAATTATCAACTGAAACTTAAGCTTATATTAGTGTTTTCCCTTTTTCATATTCAGTATCATATAAATTATGTACTTTAATTTGCATTTACATACTTAATGTTTTAAATCTTTTTTCTTCTATCAGAATTATGACATGGAATGACAACAAAGACCTTCTTTTGTTAAAGGAGGTTGCTGCTGAGGGTGTTTTTTACCATAAGTACTTGAGCAGAGAAAGAGGGAGTGCATGGCAGACTGTAGCAGAGAATCTGAATGCCTCTGSCGAGAGCTTCCAAGATTTGTCATCCAGGTCTGTGAGAGACAGATATAGTACCATACTAAAAAAATATAAAACAAAGATTGCTAGAGAGTCGAGGGAAAGTGGTGGAAGTGGAGAAGAGCCTTCAGAGGCAGAATCTCTGCTAGATGACCTAATTGCTCTTGCTGATGACACTGAGAAACAGAGCAATTTGAAAAAAGAAGCTGTCAGCAAAGACAAACAAAAGGCAGAGGCAACACGCATRGCAGCAATGGAGAGGSTAAACAAGAAAAAAAGGTCATTTGTTAATGACTCAGACGATGACTCAGATGATGAAGTAGTGCAAGTAAAAACATCAGGYAGAAGAAGACCATCAGACACTATTGAGTGGCTTAGAGAGAAAGCAGTCACTGATGCAAAAACCAAGGAGGAAGAATTGAAGCACAAGAAGTTAGAGATGGAACTAGCAAAAGAACAACAAAAACTCCAAGCTGAACAGAACACCAATCAAATGACTTTGATTTTAAAACAAATGGAGAAGCAGCAACAGCAACAGCAGCAACAACAACAACAAGTAATGATGTTGCAACAACAAATGTTTGCCTTTWTGCAAAATGTATTACAAAAAAAGGACTAAAGTTGAACTTTTAAAGATTTTGACATTATTTTATTATTAATTTATTATTTGGGATGAAATTATATTTTGACAAATTCATAACAGCAAACCATTGTTTATTAAGTCTATTAAACTTGAACTGTAATTTTTTCTGTATGACAAATAAAGCTGTTTGTATAAATTTTAACAGCCATGCAGCATRTTTATTTTGTCTAAAATATTACTATTAGGTATAATTGCTATGATTATTGAAAATATTGATGTAATCTAGGAGGGTCAACATGAAAAAAATCAGATACAATGTTACCATAAAGGCAAGTTCGTGCATTCTCAAGCAGAGCAGAAACCACATATAGTTTTCCAACTGCACTCAAGCCAATCTTCATCTGCTTTTTAAAGTCAATGAATTTGAAGAAGTTTGWAATGTTACCAAAAAGCCATTCAACAGTCACTCTGACTTGGCTCATTGCTTTATTGTAAGCTCTCATATCAGCTGTTATTTGTGCACCTCTAAATGGCATTTGTAGATGTGGGCCTAACGGGTATGCTGGGTCACCATACAAGCAGAGGGGTTCACCATTTACCAATGCATTTCGCCTTAGTGTTTGAAGAAGGTTTGTYTCGTTTAACATTGAACTGTCATGTTTTCGACCCTCATATGGCCCATGTAAGCTGGCAATCATTCCATTTGGTGTGAYAACACTTTGAAATTTCAAACCATGCAACCTCTTGTGCCCGTTATAAASTATACGCTGGTTAACTTTTGGCCTTGAAATTGGCCTTAGTGTGCCATCTATAAAACCAAAACAACTGGTCAATGGTGCTCCTCGAGCGTGAATAGCTCCAGCATATTCCAGAAGTTGTTGTGGCTGAAG